CTATTAAAATATTTGATATATTTATTCTGCTTTTATTCTGCTCTCCCATCTTGTATTACAGATTTAAATGTTAAACTAGTGATACAGTATTATGATTTAGTATGTCCCATCTATAAGGGGATGCAGGAAAAAACGTATAAAATTCTTGTACAATATTAAAAAAATGAACTGTTAGTTTGGCAACATCATTTACAAGTAAATTTAATGAATGAGATGCACGAGGTACAAAAAACCTCTAGAATTTATTTTCCTTAAATTTACAATTTATGTATCCGTTATCATAAAAATTTGTCTTTCCACTACTTTCCCATGACTACAAATATTCAAGTACAAAGTAACTGGTTTCGACTTATTTCTACTTAAGAAGTAGTTAAATAATTAAGAGATTAGGGAATTAGGGACATAAATAAAACCCTGCTGAAAGAGTCCGAATTTTACCTAAACAAAAGCTTAACTGAACCAATCTCTAGCCGAGTACAGTGGGGACTGATTTCTTTGTAATATTAGATGTAATAAAGACAAATTTTTCCAGTTCAATGATAGTGACCGAAAAGTTGTAAATTTTGGAAATTTCTATGGACACCTGGTCCTAAAACGAATTAGTTAGAAAACAAACGACAGACAATATATTAAGTTTAACATATTTAGATTTTTACAGCTATTGTGAGAAACGTTTAAAATTTACAACAACCCTGTCGCGTCCTTTGAGGTATACTAGTGATGTGACAAAAAGCACATTTGATATTGACTGGTTTCGGCACCCTCGGGATTTGGCAGCCCATATGCATGCATGCACTGCACACCTACCAGGACTGTCTCTGATTCCATCCATTAGCCACTTGTAGGGAGCAATTATAATTAACTAAGTTGATTGTTTTAATATTTAAAAAGTAAAGAATATTTTATGTTATTTTTATGTATGTTTCTTTACAAAGCTTTATTTAATTATAATTTTCTTTAAAAGTATATTCATACAATTGAAGAATATTTTGTAAACCAGGTATGTATATGAACCACATATTTTATTTCACCAAGTAAGTTTTTATAATTTTATTTATAATTTTAGCCTTTATATCGTAGCTAGCGATTCAGAATGTAATTGTGATATTAAAAATACGTTTAGAGAAGTCTACAGTTTTTACTGATTTATCAAACAAATGAATATGAATGGACCCTAAACTGTCACTGACATGCAATTAACTGACTGCCCCTGGCTTCTTACAGAAACGCAGTTTCCCTATCATCAAATGTCACAGCATGACACTGCTATAGTGTCATAAATCTTCATTTTAAGCTACTACAAAGATAAATCAAATATCTTTCTTAATCCCAAGTACAGTACTTATGAGCCTTTTGGTCCATCATTAGGAGCCCAAAAAGTATTCTGTATTAAGTAAAACATTTGCTTAGTCTCCAAGAAAGCAGAAAAGTATAGATATTATGGTCTTTGGAGTGGTAAATTTATTAAAATACTATTATTTGAATAAAGTGCCAATGAAACACATCTAAGTCAGTTCTTTGTATTATTATTTAATATTTTTTTAGTTTTTATGGCTTTGCTTTACTTTATTGCTGAATAGTCTTACCTGAATTAATGAACTATTTACTGTTAAAAATTTTTCATCTTTTAACCATAGTACAGTCGGTTGAGGATTTCCAATAACTTGACAATCTAAGCTACTAGCTTCTCCTTCAATTGTATCCACTTGAGATTTAGAAGGCATAATTGATGGAGGTTCTAGAAGGAATAAAATTTAAAAAATTATACTTTTTCTTTGCACAGATTAAATTATATTCTTAATCAAAATTTATCATTACCTAATACATCTAATTCAAAATGCTTTTTTGCTTTTCCTACTTCATTTTCAGCAAAACATATTAAGTCGCCTCCATCCTCAGTAAGTATATGTGTAAAATGCAGTTCTTTATTATTAAGAGAAAATGCTACTCTAGTATTAGACGTGTCAATTGGATAGTCATTCTTATACCACATTATGGATGGCTGAGGATTTCCAAATGTTTCACATGTTACAGTAAGCGGACGATGAATTGGTGCTTCTAAAAGTACCTTTTCTGGGCCTGCAATTTTTGGTGGCACTACAAAAACATATTATACAGTGAAATTTAATTATTATGTATATGTATAATAATATATATATATTATTAGACTTTAGAATATAATTTAATACAAGATTTAATTAAAATAATTTAAATATTTAAATTTTTATTTTATATTAATCAATGATGTGCTGGACAAAATAAATTTTGGGACCTAACCATAGTGCATCTTACTCTTAATGGGTCTTTATGCAATACAATTAACCAAATTATATCTTGTTTATGTCAGTTAGCCTATGATAAAATTGGTTTTGTTATACAATGTTTTGCATAATGTCATGTGGATAGCTCACAGGGTACATGCATGAAAATGCAATATAACAACAGATAAGAAGTAGGAAAGTACACTCTAAGGAACCATAACTAATTTAATCAGCTATGGTTACTTAGACTGTACTTTTTACTAGAATCACCATATTTATGTGATAATTCTAGAGCTAATACATGCATCAGAGTTCTGATCTTTCAAGGATGAGTGCATTTATTAGAATATGCTTGTCTTAAAGATTCAGCCATACTTGTCTAAGTACGTACTGAAATACACACTAAACTCATTTCTAAATCCTTTTCACCCAATTACATACTGTTACAACTTATTAAAGTTTGAACCATGTACAGTATGTAATTGGTAATTTAATTAGGTAAAAATAAAATTAGGTAATGTAATTAAGGGTCTCACATGACTGCAAGATGCATTGGGAAGAGAGGATTTATGATTTATCCTACTTGTGTGGGCCAGAGTGAGTGGCCAGTCCCACATCAAATCCAAGAATCCATTGGAAAGAAGGTTGGAAATATCTCAATCTGCATGAATTACAACAGCAAAACATGCCATCACTGGGATTCAATTCCAGCTTGTCCACTCACAACAGGGACCAACATAATTAGAAATATTCATTTGGACTCGGGGGACCTTGGAATGTCAAGAAATGCAAAAAAATTTGGGGACAATTTCTGTATGTATAGATGTTAGTGTGTGTTTGTGTGGCACAATTTTGTTCACCCTCTTTGAAGCTTAATAACAACTATGTTTTTGTTGAAATTTTGCAGGGAAGTTTGTTGTGTATTTAGGGGGATTGGTAGTATTAAATTATAGTGATTAAAGGTCGAGGGATGGGGAGATAAAGGGGATCATGTGTGTCTCCAGTAGGGTTGGACTTGATGATGATTTTACTCATTATTAGCACCTACAATTTTTTATAAAATCCATCCCTTCCCTCAAAATTGCTTTTTGCACTTTATAATAGTTAAAAATATAAAAAGTATATCAAACATCCCAAAGCCTGATATAGATAATGATAAAACATACTGCATGGCAAGTGGAGGTTGTGGGGCTTGAACCCACAACCTCTGCTTGCCATGTAGTGTGCTTGCTAGTTGTGCCATCCAGACCCCAATTAAGGCAATAGATTGGTTATTTATCTATATAAAAAGTTTTTAATAATAAAATATCATAATAGATGGCACCACCAAATGTTGTCAGGAAAGTTAAGCAACTTGTTGCTGGATATTTTTGAATAACATGAGTTTTACAGAATGTTGCGTTGCCAGGTGTAGTGCATAAGCACTATTGTATAGTTGTTTCCGTTATTTATGTATATATATATATATCGGGTTTTATTGTAAAATTTCGTTTCGGATTGCGACGGGTAGAACCCGTCGCCCTTGCTGATTGGTCAGCGTCTGACATCACGTCACACTCAATGGCGGGGGATATAAATGTTTGGACTCCCGTCCAGAAGAGAACTTTTTGGTTTTCCCTTCGGCCCTGGCTTGTCGTGAGATAAGAATAGACTATGTGGTGCAAGGACAAAGAAGAAAGAAAACGACACGTGTGGACTTTCAATTAAGGAGTGAATGGAATCCGAATCCATCGGTGAAAATACGTCAACAGTCCAAGAAATAAGTAGAAATACAAATACAGGAAACTTCAAAGAACATCCCAAGACTTTTATTTTGTCGGTACGTGGATTACTGTGTTATTAATATTTAAGTAAATTCTTCAATCCTTCTCCCTGGAAGTTCTAATGTGTTTAAGTTCCTCCTATGTTGTTAGAATAGATTAAATTTTGTCTGTATGTATTCATGATTAAATTTTATTGTTTAAAATATACCACAATTGTAAAGTCCTCAATCAATGTGTCTGTGCCTTTACCCGACAACCTCGCCTAACAGACTTAGGTCTATTGGGGCTTAACACAGGACTCTATTGTAAGGTAATGAGTAAACCAAGTTGGGAAATCAGACTATATCAAATATTTCCTTTTGTCTTATTGCAGGTTTCTATATTTCTATGACAACCATAACAAAATTTTATTTCTACCCAAAAATATGAAACGATTAGAGTCTAGACCAGGAATGTCCAACCCGTGGCCCACTTAATATTTTTATGTGGCCCATGGCCTACTGCACGCTACACACTTTTTAAATACATTTTCATTTATTTTGGTAAAGTATGTCATAAAAATTATTCTCATTTTACTGGATACACTTTGATGTCATAATGATGTACTGTAATTGGTTCTATAAAACTGTTTTATCTAGAAAAGTGTTATGCATGTGGGGTAGTACATACTGCTGTGAACAATTGTTTTTGTGCATGAAAAACATCAAAACTACTGAAAGAAATAAATTGAGTGATTCTCATTTAACTAGCATTCTTAGAAATAAGACTACTACCATAAAAGCAGATATTGACAATACTATAAAAGGAAGGTAATGTCAAAAATCACATTGAATTTATTTTTATTTTGTGGGAGTATAATTTTTTTATTGTTGATATATATAATTACAAAAATACTGTATTTATTATTCAAATTTGATATTCACATTTTGAACTTTTTAAAAGCATATATTTATGTAAAGTACCTTTGTGGCCTGCTGAATATACATAAATTTCTAATTTGGCCCATTAAGAAAAAAGGTTGGACAAACCTGGTCTAGACAATCCAAGATTTCTACTATCTTTAGAGAAGGTTCTAAAAGAGCCTTACTCTAATCAAGGCTTGAGATGCTAGCATAAATTTAGATATTTATATTTGCTAGAAATTTAGATTTAAATATTAGAACTTTGCTGTAATGATATGATATCATTATTCTAATTCAACATTTAATGAATTTGAAAAAGCAGTACAGAGCAATCAAATGAAAATTTACTTGAGAGAAATAGACTTGGTGTCACCAGTAACGAGTTTTAAATGTTATCCTTTGAGTCCTTTGTAAATAAATGTTATGCACAACAGAACAGAAACAAACACAGCTGGTTCAGAATGTTTTAAGTCTACTCCTTCAAGTAAACTTCATCTGGTATTTAGGAATATTTTAAAAGTATTATAATGTAAAAATTTAATCAATTATGAAAATAAAAATTCTTACTAAATACTTCTAAATCATATTCCATTTCATCTTTTCCAACAGGATTTGCCGCAACACACTTAAAATTTCCTGCATCGCTTGGTTCTACAGGTGATATTCTTAATATTTTCCCATCTACACAAGATATAATTTTAAAAATTTTGTTTATTTGAAATAAATACAATCTCAAAGATTCAATTCTATACCTGATAATCTTTCATATCGAGAATTATCATCAAATGAAATTAACTGATCTTCAAATAACCATTCTATCGAAGGTAAAGGAGTTCCAATTGCAGGGCACTCTAAAGTGATAATTCCATTAACTATTGCATTCTTTGATGTAATGATATTCGATTTATCTATTGACGATGGTGCTACAAGAAAATAATTATTGGTTTTTTTTAACTTTTAGACAAAATAATCCTTCTAATTAAAATATTGTAATTTTTATTAAAATTATATACTTAAAACTCTAAGAGGAAATGTTCCTTTCACTTCTCCCACATAATTTCTCGCTATGCACGAGAAATATCCATTGTCTACTTCTCGGCTTCTCAACAGTTTCAAAGTCTCTCCATTATTCATAACATAGATGAAAGGATTCGAAAAATCAATTGGTCTTCCGTGCTTCATCCATGTTATATGAGATTCGGGATTGGAAGTTATGGGACAATTAAAAGTTACCGGTTGACCAATTGTTACGATTTTTGAATCGGTATCGTTGATAAGTTTGGGAGGAACTAAAATATCAATATTGAGACTGATCATGTATAAATATAATTTAAGTTTCATATAAAGTAGCATAATGTACTATTTATTTAATGTAAATATTAAATTAATTATTACCTAGAACATTTAACATAAAATCTTTTTCTGAGGATCCAACAGAATTTGATGCAATACACATATATTTTCCATGGTGATCAGCAGTGGTATTAGCAATTAACAATATTTGTCCATCATTGTAAATTTCAATATCATCCTATATATAAATATACTTAAATTAGTACATCCACTTTTTATAAGGTTTTTCATGTTAAAACTATCAAATGCAGAGGTCAGATATTCTTTAAATTTAGATGTTAAAGGTTAGTACCTTTAACGTCTAAGTGCAGTGGCGTGATGTCCTAGAAAGCAGTGGAATGTCACTTCCCTTGTATTTTCTAAAATATGAAAATAATTGCACAATATGTATTTATATTTGAACGTATCTTATTTTACAAATTTCTATACTACATGCGGAAAAAAAATGATAAGATTCAAATATAAATTCATGTATGGATATTCCCAATGGAAGTGCTGTATTGTCGAATATGGCTTCCATGACGAAAATATTTGAATGGTGTAAAACAGCCAGATTATAGGCATTCACGCATGCACTTTACAGAGCATTAACCTCACGGTGTAAGCTACATATACAATGCTTCCAATGAATTCTATCCAGGATCGGTTCTGGGCTGTTAACTGCCTGCCTGCTAGATATCTGGCTGCCTTTGTCCATTATGTGAACCGCAAATAGATTTATAACTTAACCAGTGGTATGCTGTCTTTGGAAGCAGTGGAAGCACCACTTCCCTTCTATTTTCTAAAATATAAATACATATTGTGCAATTATTTTCATATTTTAGCATACTTTCAATTAATTAAAATTAATATTTTATTATAACCGCATTATGTATTTTATTACAAATTTCTATACTATATGTGAAAAAAAACAATAAGATTGCTATTACAGTCGACCCCCCTATAACACTGTTGATTTTTCCGTTTTATATGAATTTCATGTTGTACGAGTCACTTAGATTTTACAAATATGTGAGCCGTTCATAGCCTGGCACACGTATTTGTAAAATCTAATTGTCTGGTACAACATGGAATTCATATAAAATGGAAAAATCAACAGTTTTATAGGAGGGGTCAATTGTATATATTCAAATATCAGTGGCGGAATGAATGAATAAATCATGAGTAAATTTATAACTTAACCCACCAATAGGAGTTTACTGGTATGTTTTTATGACAGTTCTGTATAGTTGGCAGGAGTTTTAAAAAAATCCATTAAAATATTTGATATATTTATTCTGCTTTTATTCTGCTCTCCCATCTTGTATTACTTACAGATTTAAATGTTAAACTAGCGATATTACGATTTAGTATGTCCCATCTATAAGGGGATGCAGGAAAAAACATGTAAAATTCTTGTACAATATTAAAAAAATGAACTGTTAGTTTGGCAACATCATTTACAACTAAATTTAATGAATGAGATGCACAAGGTACAAAAAAACCTCTAGAATTTATTTTCCTTAAATTTACAATTTATGTATCTGTTGTCATAAAAATTTGTCTTTCCACTACTTTCCCATGACTACAAATATTCAAGTACAAAGTAACTGGTTTCGACTTATTTCTACTTAAGAAGTAGTTAAATAATTAAGAGATTAGGGAATTAGGGACATAAATAAAACCCTGCTGAAAGAGTCCGAATTTTACCTAAACAAAAGCTTAACTGAACCAATCTCTAGCCGAGTACAGTGGGGACTGATTTCTTTGTAATATTAGATGTAATAAAGACAAATTTTTCCAGTTCAATGATAGTGACCGAAAAGTTGTAAATTTTGGAAATTTCTATGGACACCTGGTCCTAAAACGAATTAGTTAGAAAACAAACGACAGACAATCTATTAAGTTTAACATATTTAGATTTTTACAGCTATTGTGAGAAACGTTTAAAATTTACAACAACCCTTTCGCGTCCTTTGAGGTATACTAGTGATGTGACAAAAAGCACATTTGATATTGACTGGTTTCGGCACCCTCGGGATTTGGCAGCCCACATGCATGCATGCACTGCACACCTACCAGGACTGTCTCTGATTCCATTCATTAGCCACTTGTAGGGAGCAATTATAATTAACTAAGTTGATTGTTTTAATATTTAAAAAGTAAAGAATATTTTATGTTATTTTTATGTATGTTTCTTTACAAAGCTATATTTAATTATAATTTTCTTTAAAGGTATATTCATACAATTGAAGAATATTTTGTAAACCAGGTATGTATATGAACCACATATTTTATTTCACCAAGTAAGTTTTTATAATTTTATTTATAATTTTAGCCTTTATATCGTAGCTAGCGATTCAGAATGTAATTGTGATATTAAAAATACGTTTAGAGAAGTCTACAGTTTTTACTGATTTATCAAACAAATGAATATGAATGGACCCTAAACTGTCACTGACATGCAATTAACTGACTGCCCCTGGCTTCTTACAGAAACGCAGTTGGCTTCTTACAGAAACGCAGTTTCCCTATCATCAAATGTCACAGCATGACACTGCTATAGTGTCATAAATCTTCATTTTAAGCTACTACAAAGATAAATCAAATATCTTTCTTAATCCCAAGTACAGTACTTATGAGCCTTTTGGTCCATCATTAGGAGCCCAAAAAGTATTCTGTATTAAGTAAAACATTTGCTTAGTCTCCAAGAAAGCAGAAAAGTATAGATATTATGGTCTTTGGAGTGGTAAATTTATTAAAATACTATTATTTGAATAAAGTGCCAATGAAACACATCTAAGTCAGTTCTTTGTATTATTATTTAATATTTTTTTAGTTTTTATGGCTTTGCTTTACTTTATTGCTGAATAGTCTTACCTGAATTAATGAACTATTTACTGTTAAAAATTTTTCATCTTTTAACCATAGTACAGTCGGTTGAGGATTTCCAATAACTTGACAATCTAAGCTACTAGCTTCTCCTTCAATTGTATCCACTTGAGATTTAGAAGGCATAATTGATGGAGGTTCTAGAAGGAATAAAATTTAAAAAATTATACTTTTTCTTTGCACAGATTAAATTATATTCTTAATCAAAATTTATCATTACCTAATACATCTAATTCAAAATGCTTTTTTGCTTTTCCTACTTCATTTTCAGCAAAACATATTAAGTCGCCTCCATCCTCAGTAAGTATATGTGTAAAATGCAGTTCTTTATTATTAAGAGAAAATGCTACTCTAGTATTAGACGTGTCAATTGGATAGTCATTCTTATACCACATTATGGATGGCTGAGGATTTCCAAATGTTTCACATGTTACAGTAAGCGGACGATGAATTGGTGCTTCTAAAAGTACCTTTTCTGGGCCTGCAATTTTTGGTGGCACTACAAAAACATATTATACAGTGAAATTTAATTATTATGTATATGTATAATAATATATATATATTATTAGACTTTAGAATATAATTTAATACAAAATTTAATTAAAATAATTTAAATATTTAAATTTTTATTTTATATTAATCAATGATGTGCTGGACAAAATAAATTTTGGGACCTAACCATAGTGCATCTTACTCTTAATGTCTTTATGCAATACAATTAACCAAATTATATCTTGTTTATGTCAGTTAGCCTATGATAAAATTGGTTTTGTTATACAATGTTTTGCATAATGTCATGTGGATAGCTCACAGGGTACATGCATGAAAATGCAATATAACAACAGATAAGAAGTAGGAAAGTACACTCTAAGGAACCATAACTAATTTAATCAGCTATGGTTACTTAGACTGTACTTTTTACTAGAATCACCATATTTATGTGATAATTCTAGAGCTAATACATGCATCAGAGTTCTGATCTTTCAAGGATGAGTGCATTTATTAGAATATGCTTGTCTTAAAGATTCAGCCATACTTGTCTAAGTACGTACTGAAATACACACTAAACTCATTTCTAAATCCTTTTCACCCAATTACATACTGTTACAACTTATTAAAGTTTGAACCATGTACAGTATGTAATTGGTAATTTAATTAGGTAAAAATAAAATTAGGTAATGTAATTAAGGGTCTCACATGACTGCAAGATGCATTGGGAAGAGAGGATTTATGATTTATCCTACTTGTGTGGGCCAGAGTGAGTGGCCAGTCCCACATCAAATCCAAGAATCCATTGGAAAGAAGGTTGGAAATATCTCAATCTGCATGAATTACAACAGCAAAACATGCCATCACTGGGATTCAATTCCAGCTTGTCCACTCACAACAGGGACCAACATAATTAGAAATATTCAAATTATTCTTGATAAATAATATTTATATATATAAAAATATTACCTAAAATATCAATTATAAAATCTTTTTCTACTGTGCCAACAGCATTTGATATAACGCAAGTATAATGTCCCTTATGTTCTTGTTCTACTGAATCAATATGAAGGATCTGATTTCTATTAGTCATTTCGTATTCTTCATTAGTTGTTAACAAAATTCCATCTTTAAACCAGAATATTGTCGGTTCCGGTACAGCATCTACTTCACATTCTAACGACACTGTTTCATTTATTAACACCTGCACAGATTCTTCTTCTTCATATGGTGCTTGATCGCCTCTGTTATTACGATATAACAAACGTGGTGGAGCTATATTACAAGAAATAATTTACAAATTTATTTTTTAATGGAATGTGTACCATTAAAAATATCTCACAATACCTAATACTTGAAGATGAATTTCTTTCTCTGTTTTTCCAGCTCTGTTTATGGCTATGCATTTATATACAGATGCATCACTTTTACGAGCATGTTTTATAGTTAACTGTCTCTTATTTGATGAAAGCATAATGTTGGTATCAGAAAATTGTTCTATAGGTCTTCCATTTTTAAGCCATTGAATGGAAGGTAGAGGAATTCCACTTGCAGGACATTTTATAATTACTGGATGATTCATAATAGCTGAAACTTCATCTGTTAGATTTTCTGCTTGCATTATACTTGGAGGAACTATTTATAGAGAGTCAAAATGTAATGTAATGTATAACAAATAATATATTACATAATTGAATATTTTAAATTTATTTTCAGTAAAAGACTTTGAATTAGATTAATTATTTTAAACAGAACATTATCATTTTTGTTTCGTAAGCATGATATAATGTAGTTAAACGAACACTAAGCATCATTTCGTCCATTTATTTGCTCTTCTTAGTTGACTCAACTAAGAAGAGCAAATAAATGTAGAATGACACAGTTTCAAGTTGGTACAGAACATTATCTATTAATTTGATACTTTGTAAATTATTATTACCTAAAATGATGTTAATTGTAACAAAAGTATTTTAATAATGCAATATAAATATAAAAATATTAAAGAGTAATTTGAAAAATACTTTCTTTTAAATATCTTTTTACAGTCAAACCTTGATATAGTAGCAACCTCATAGAGCATCAATGAATACTCACAAATTAATCTTCCTCTTAAATACTTAATAAAAATGTACAGTACAATTTTACACATTGAAAAGGAAATTGTTATCACCAAATCATGACTTTCAAATGCTTTAACTTCAAACTTATGTATACACTTCACTGTTTTATACATAGTAATTATTAAATAGACATTCACGATTGTCGTAAATAATTCAGCTATAATTTGCAAATATTAATTATAAATAACAAATAAATTTGATTCCTCTAGTGTCAAATTTATTTGTTATTTATAATTAATATTTGCAAATTATAGCTGAATTATTTACGGCAATCGTGAACGTCTATTTAATAATTACTATGTATAAAACAGTGAAGTGTATACATAAGTTTGAAGTTTAAGCATTTGAAAGTCATGATTTGGTGATAACAATTTCCTTTTCAATGTGTAAAATTGTACTGTAAATAAATCGTAAATTTAAGGAAAATTTCCTTAAATTTACGATTTATGTATCTGTTTGTCATAAAAATTTGTCTTTCCACTTTTTTCCTGAGACTACAAATATTCGAGTACAAAGTAACCAGTTTCGACTTAATTCTACTTAAGAAGTAGTTAAATAATTAAGCGATTAGGGAATTAGGGACATAAATAAAACCCTGCTGAAAGAGTCCGAATTTTACCTAAACAAAAGCTTAACTGAACCAATCTATAGCCAAGTACAGTGGGGACTGATTTCTTTGAAATACTGTATTAGATGTAATAAAGACAGATATTTTTCCAGTTCAATGAGAGTGACTGAAAAGTTGTAAATTTTGGAAATTTCCGTGGACAACACCTGGTCCTAAAACGAATTAGTTAGAAAACAAATGAGTATTAAGTTTAACATATTTAGATTTTTAACAGCTATGGTGAGAAACGTTTAAAATCTACAACAGCCCTGTCGCGTCCTTTGAGATATACTAATGATGTGCCAAAAGAGATATTTGACATTGACCGGTCTCGGCACACTGGGGATTTGGCAGTCCGCGTGTATGCACGCTCTGCAACCGTCTTCGATTCCATCCATTAACCACTCGTAGGGAGCAGTGTGTGTAAAAGAGCACAAATACAGTGTTAGTAAAGATCTTAATAGCACGATATTAGCAAGCATGGCACAGGCGGACGGAGCAATAGTTAAGTGGGATGAAGCGAAGATCATAAGAACGGTGCACTCACCGTCTATAGCGATGGAAATGGAAAAAATAGAGACATACAAAAATAGAATGAGGAACCAATGTTTAAATGAAAAGGATGCAAATACATTACCAACAGCATGGAAATACAAAATAGAAAAATGCATGGGTTTCCATAATCCATAAAATAGGAACTGGGGATCATAAGAAGTTATTATATTAAAATTCAGACGCATGTAAAAATATGTTATTAATTTTTGTAGCACGTATAGGGCATAATTTATTCATTTTATTTATTTTAATTATTTATTTTATTTTGTTTATTTATGTAATATACAAAAAGTTGTTATCTTATTTCAAAAATTCAAATTGAAATAAAATTCGAACAAATGGTTCCATTTTGGAATGATGAATGAAAGCCTGAGGATGGCCTATCCAAATAGGCCGAAAACGTTTGAGAATAAAAAGAAAAAACTCGGCAAGTGGAATTCAGGTGTGTTCATATATTATAATTTAACAGTGCTGAGAAAGATAGAGATAAGTGCATTGTTTTAAGATTTAAAAATTAAAGAATATTTTATATTTTTATGTACGTTTCTTTGCAAAGCTATATTTAATTATAATTTTCTTTAAAAGTATATTATATAATTGAAGAATATTTTGTATGTATCAGTACATCCACCACATATTTTATTCAAGTAAGTTTTCATTATTTTATTTTTAATTGTAGCCCTTATATTGTGGCTAGCAATTCGGAATGTAATTGTGATATTAAAAATGCAAGTCTGTGGTTTTTACTGGCTTATCGAATAAACGATACGAATGGACCCTAGACCATCACTGACACGCAACTGACTGATTGCCCCTGGATGTTGGCTTCTTACAGAAACACAGCTTCCCTATCATCAAATGTCATGGCACACCACTGTAGTAATTATTATTGTTTGAGATTCTTTGGTTTAGTGCCATGTTTGATTTAATGCTAATTTCAAAGGCAAACAAATAGTGGCACTATATTGAGGCTTGACTAACTATGTAAAACATTTTAAAGAATTTTTAGAACTAATTTTCTGATTATGCCAAAGTTATCAAAGTATTTTTGTTGAAAGGTTGCATTAGTCAAATGACAAGATATTTGAAAAATACATGTGATAAATAAATACTAAATTTTCATAGACATATGATCATAAAAAGTAATCATTACACAATTAAATTATAAAATTGACTAGAATATTTAAGTTACTTTCTTTACAAATCTTAAGTTAAATTTAAAATTGTTGAAATATTTATTGAAACTACTTTAAGTTAGAATAAATCAATCAAATCATTGCTTATTTCAGAGAGTCATTTTTATTATACAAAAGAACTTTCCACAACATTATACCATGTAAATGCATTATCAGTTATGTCGAGATGTCTATCCAATAGCATAATTGCTAACACATCTGCAAGGTATGATGTCTAATTATAAACTAGTGGAATAATACATTCAAATATACTAGAATAATAATGAAATACTTCTTAAACTTACCTGAAACATCCAGAAAAAAATTTTGATCTGCAGTTCCGGCCAAATTTGTAGCAATACATGTATACTGACCCCCATGTTTTGCCTGATGATAATTCAATGTATCAATAATATAAATTATGAATTTTTTTACTAAGAAAATATTATAAAATGATGTCTAATGAATAAAAAGTAACTAACATGTTTCATTTTAGGAAAAAAAAAAAACACTAAAAATACATATTAATTAATGATAACTGACCTACTACACTCACTTGGTACTCTCTACTGATATGTCCGGCTACATTTTCTGCCATGCAACTGTAACGACCAGAATTTGATATTTGACTTTCTTTGATGATAATTTGCTCAGTATTAACTTGTATATTATTTATATTAACAGCATTAATAGGTGTTATCTGCTGACTTTTTATGTAAGGTGGTACTAAGATAAGAAAATTTTACTTATTATAATTATTAACCTTACATAGTATATTTCAATGATAAAAAAACTTATATGCACCTAAAACTATTAAGTTTATTTCCTTTTTCACTTCTCCAGCTGTATTTTCAGCAATACAAGTGTAAGTACCACCATCGTTTAATTCGGTATGACTTAATGTAAGCGTTCTTCCACCATTTATTGCCCTGATGCCATTTCTTCTTAAAATTGCATTGTCTTTCATCCATGTAATAACTGGAGGTGGTATTCCGCCAACTGGACAGTTTAGAATTGCAGAATGTGACATTATTACTTCTAATTTTTCAAAAGCATTTTCTTCCAACCACGGCGGAACTATAAAATAACATGTATACTGACCCCCATGTTTTGCCTGATGATAATTCAATGTATCAATAATATAAATTATGAATTTTTTTTAATCAAAGTAATATTCACCTCTGATTTAACTAATAGTTATAATTATAACTTTAAGCAAAATTATATAAATATACTTAAATAAGCTCAACATCTACATGAATTTTTATTGAAAATCAAATCAATTAGGTATCAAAAACTATTTTCTTTTCAATAAATGAACATTAAAATGCCATTTATTTGCACATATTATGCATAAAATTGACAGAAAATTACATATGGATAATGTTACAAATTTTTCTATGTATTAGTAAAGATAATTATGCAGTAGAACCTCACTAATCTGAACTAATTGAGGCCTAAACCTGTTTGCATTAGTGAGTGTTTTGAATTATCCAAAATTCTTTTTCTCCATTGTACTTTTTATTAATCAAAGTCCTGACATAATAGGGTTCAGATTAGTAAGATTCTACTTCATTTTAAAAATACACTTATTAAGAGCATTAATAATAAAATCATACCTCAACTTTTTCTATATAAAATAAAGTCCCATTCTCAGTTATTCTAATATCAGAATTATTTTCAGAAATAATCATGTGACCATTGTGAAGCCAAACAATATCTGGCATTGGAGAACCTCTCACTGGACAATATAGATAGAATTCGTGTCCTTCATTTACATTATGTCTGTCAACAACTTCTCCAATATGAGGAGGTACTATAAGATATTTTAAAAAGAAATATAAATTTAGGAAATGTTTTCTTTATTATTTAATTAACTACACTATCCAACATGATTTTTACTTCTGGGGACACATAATGTTTGAATAAAATAAATTTTTTTCCCAAAAATCTTGGAGATGTTAGGAACAAGTATGATGAAAGATTTCACCAAGCCATTTCACCATAGGAAAAATACTAAAATTGTATGGATATTGATGCTGGGAGAATACTGCTGGTTTCTTGGAAGAGAGAGTAAGCAGGAGTACAAGAAGAAATCAATATCCAAACAGCATTTTTAAAGAGAAGCTTATGTATGCTTTTAAAATGTTTGCATGTGTTTAATGTTTAAGATGCTTGTCAATGTACATGTCACAGTATACTTATTGCAGATCAGCCTGTAGAGCAGCTGGCTTTTGTTATCTTGTGCAATTGAAACAGCACAGGTACCGTGTAAAAATGTCAATTCCCATTCTGATACATCTACCAATGTTTAAAGTTGTGTAAATAAAGAAATAAAATCATGTTAGAATGAATTTCATAGATACATGTGCTATATTCACACTTTAAGTTAGTTTCTGTATGTGTATCATTATACAAAGATACATTGATTATGATAAGAAAATCTGAAAGTGATTTTTGAAATCACAAGGATTTTTCCTATAGGAATCATCTATTTTAATGCCAGAGGTATAAAAAAATTATTTTGTTGGATAGTATTATTTATAATAAATTTTAAAACCTACCTACAATATCAACATCATAATGTTTTTCTGTCTTCCCAGCTTCATTTTCAGCAATACATGTATAATGTCCTTTGTTTTTATCAGAACTGTGATAAATATGAAGAATTCTTCCTTTCTCTAAAAGAGTAATATCTGAAGTTTGTTCAACTGAACTTCCATCCTTTACCCAAGTAATTGTTGGAAATGGTTGTCCATATATTGGACACAACAATTGAATAGAGGTTCCTGATGTAAATTCATACTTTTGTTGTTCTTTTTCTTCCATCAATTTAGGAGGAACTGTATATATTTTTTTATTATGAAGTTAAAATAGTCTCAAAAATTAAAATGATATATAAGGCAAATCATAACTTACTCATAACATTAACGCTATAATCTCTAGACGATGATCCTGCTTTATTTATGGCTGTACATGTATATCTACCCCCATCACTTTCCGTTAAATTTGCAATAATTAAATTTGTACCTTTCATTTCATATTCAGGATATCGATAAATTAAATTAATAGACAAATCATCTTTCATCCATCTCACTTCTGGGAATGGTATTCCTGCAACCTCACATTCCAAATTAATGGTATCACTTTTCATAGTTTTAATAATAGGTGTTATCTGCTGACTTTTTATGTAAGGTGGTACTAAGATAAGAAAATTTTACTTATTATAATTATTAACCTTACATAGTATATTTCAATGATAAAAAAACTTATATGCACCTAAAACTATTAAGTTTATTTCCTTTTTCACTTCTCCAGCTGTATTTTCAGCAATACAAGTGTAAGTACCACCATCGTTTAATTCGGTATGACTTAATGTAAGCGTTCTTCCACCATTTATTGCCCTGATGCCATTTCTTCTTAAAATTGCATTGTCTTTCATCCATGTAATAACTGGAGGTGGTATTCCGCCAACTGGACAGTTTAGAATTGCAGAATGTGACATTATTACTTCTAATTTTTCAAAAGCATTTTCTTCCAACCACGGCGGAACTATAAAATAATATCTGAATTTAAAGTGTTTCTATCTGAAAAATTCTGAAAATATTCTTTATAATTTTATAATAAATTGAAAAATCTATAAATTGTATCCTTATGTAATATTAACAATGCATGTTAATTAATAGACTTCAATAATGGATGAAATAGCATTAAACTTGTAAATCTACTTTCTTCATTATGAAAAAAACCTATACAGGGTGAGCCAATAGTCAATTGGAATGAAAAGGTAGTCCGATCCAATATGGCAATCATTTGGCTTATTGGATCGGACTACTTTACTGCTACTATTAATAATTAACTTTTGAGTAATTTGGTACTAGAAGTAGACGTTAGGCACCAGCTCTTATCAAATTTAATAATTATAATTAAATTAATATTTATTAAATAATTTAGAATATTCTGGAAGAAACGAATCAGCCCAGACCAGTACTCAACTTGCAACTTCCACTTACTGTGTAGATATGTTGCCAATTACACTACTCAGACTTCTATCCGATCCTCCACTTCCACACATATTTCAATTTGACTTATTAAAACATTGGGCTTTGTGATGTTTATATACATATATACACATCAAAGTCACTTATGTTGTATCTTTTCAATGAGCAGAAGTAACATAAAAATTCTAATGATAAAGTTAACAAGCACCATTTATTTAGTCTAAAACCATTTTCTGGATTTGAATAAACACATTTAGGACTGCGTAATTTGCAATATTAAATTTATGAGGAATAAAACTGATTGTTTTACATGATCTTTAAAATCATTTTCAAAATCAACAAAAAGTTTCCATTTGTTCCTCTGTGTATGACTTCCTATGTAGCTACATTAACAAAATTAATGTATCTTCAGTATTTCTAGAATGAAAAAAATGCAAGGGACTTTTGACTTGCCCACTCTATATTATTTTAATGTATTATTTATTAAAAATCTCTCAACAAAGCAGGAATCTTCTAGTTAAAATTATGCATGTATTACAGTTTTTTCAAATATTACAGATTGAATCTAATAACAATTCTGTTTAATTATGAATTTTTTTACTAAGAAAATATTATAAAATGATGTCTAATGAATAAAAAGTAACTAACATGTTTCATTTTAGGAAAAAAAAACACTAAAAATACATATTAATTAATGATAACTGACCTACTACACTCACTTGGTACTCTCTACTGATATGTCCGGCTACATTTTCTGCCATGCAACTGTAACGACCAGAATTTGATATTTGACTTTCTTTGATGATAATTTGCTCAGTATTAACTTGTATATTATTTATATTAACAGCATTCATTGGATAACCATCTTTTCTCCAGATAATCTTTAACAAATAAAAAAAATTACTTTAATATTTTCAAATCTGTATAATGTTAAACTAATAACATTAAAAGTTATTGATGTCTCACAATATAACCTCATTACTGTAATAACATATATAATTACTTAACAAATAAACATAATATTTAAAAAGTTAAAAGCTTCTTGCCAAACATTATCATTCAATGTACGTTTTCTAATAATAATTTCAATTGATAATATTTTAAATATTAAAATGATATGGACAAAACAACAACTTCTGAAATTCTTGGATGAATCTAAAAAGAGTTTAAATAAACAATCAAAATAATTTTTTTCATTTTAATATCTTTCCACCCTGTGGACAGTAAAGAGGGTCTTTTTAATGATATTCATGGTGGGTTCAACTAGGTTTACAATAGGGGTAACTGAGTAGTGAGGATGGAGTTTGACTTATCCAGACAGACCATCCCTAAAAAATTTCTGGAGTTACTAACCCAGATTCAATTCCAGGTTTCACAGAGCAATAGATTAATGGCTTAACTGCCTCAGTGATCCAGCTGTCAATAATTTTAATATATAGAAGAAACTAAGTCGTCTTCATTCTTCCATCTTGTCCAATCACCAGAAATAACAGTTTTTCTTTGCAGAGACAACCTGTTTATAGAGGTTATGCCTTTTCAAAATTATGTAAAACAGTTTAAAAAAATGGTGATTGGACATAATGGAAGAATGATGTCAACTTAGTTTCTTCTATATTTTAAATTGTGAAATATACTGTCTGCCATTTTAATTGTCAATAATTTACTTATTTTCACTACTGATTGACACGCTTTTGCATCATGTAATCTTTGTTACAATATACTGATTATGCAATTTTGTGTCATTCAGATGCTGGAAATTTTGGCAAACTGCACCTGTATTATTTTTTTTATGTTATTTATTACTATCTAGAAGTGGAAGAAATATTTTAGAGATTATATTTTATTGCTTACTTGTTAGTTTGTTACTTTCCAAGACATATTTAATTATAATAGTTTTTCATCATTTACATCGTCAGATAGGTGTCTGTATCTCAATTTTGCATCATCACATATAATTCCAAAAACAGTCACATTTTTATCATCAAAATTTTATCTATCCAGATGTCAAAACAGATACATTTAATTCATGATAGTCACTGATATCTTAATAAATTATAGAAAAATAATCCTTAAACATATCATGAATGTTTAAATATATATAATTTGTACAGTAATACCTTGACTTACGCTATCCCGACTTACGCAAACCTGGAGTTACGTGATTTTCAAATCTCGTCAATTTGTCTCTTGATTACTCACTCCCCCAACACTATTGTTCAGCTTACATGTTCGGATGTGTTGCACAGAATCGACACATAGCTACAATTTATTTTGTGTTATTTATTTCTGTGTTTGTTATATCTACGAAGACTTGAGAGACTCTATGTGGTGATTTCTTGTAACCATGAGTCTGAGTACATAAAAAACATAAAAAATGGTGTGCTTACAGGGATTTTGATGAAGCCAATATAGTAGAAGAGAAAGATAAAAGGTTGTGCAGTTTGTTGCATGTGCTATTGGAAACGTAGGAGTCATTTTATCCTTTTCTTCTACTATAAAAATGATATTATATATAAAATATATCTATAAAGTTCAATACATTCAAAAGTAGTACATTCAATTCTTGCAGAAATTTCTATAAACAAAAATTCTTTTTTACAATATTAGAAACTCTGAGTTTTCAGTTCAGAATTGAACATGAATCACAGTTACAAGTCTGAGAGTAACCAGAGTCTGAGAGACTCTATGTGATAATTTCTTGTAACCGTTCATGGTTACAAGAAATCACCACATAGAGTCTCTCAGAGAAAAGACGAGATAAGATTAACGAGAACATTTATTAGCTTACATACATCCAACTTAAATTTTACACAAATTGCGAAATTATACCCCGACTTATGCGAATTCATCTTACGTGGTTATCACTCAGTCTCACCTATCGCGTAAGTTTGGGGTATTACTGTACTGAATTTGCAAATAATATGCAATCAAAATTTTTAGTGGAATAAATATAGTAAATCTATTTTACTATATTTGCTATCATCATCAACATTTATTCATTATTACATATTAAAAACAATAAATTACCTTGGGTTTCGGGTTTCCTATTACAGAACAATTTACTGTCAAGGTATCTCCTTGTATGACATATAAGACGGAAATATGATTTTGAATAACAAATTTTGGTGGAACTATAGAAAAACGTATTAATTAAATTGATACAATATTTGTATTTATAAGTATAAAAATAAATTAATTCTTAAATCAATCTTAGTGTTTTGAATAATTTCTAATTAGTTTTTTCATTTTTGACTCTGGGCATTAAAATGACCTGTTGATCATGTCCATCATGGGTTTTGGCAGGGCCCACAATGGAGATGGCTGGATGTGATTGATGAGAGGCTTGATGTACCTGGGACAGACCACCCCTAAAAAATTCCAGTGGTTTTTCAAACTGCCAAATTCAATCCCAGGTCCCCAGAGTGGTAGGCTGATGCCTTAATCACCTCAATCATCCAGCCATCAATTTCTAATTAAGTGATTTTATTAAAAAAGAAAGCAAAAAAAATTAAAATTATAATGGGAAGAAAAATACAGAACAATATGTAATATAATAATAAAACAAATTATCAATTGGATTCATAAATAAATGTTCTATGATAAATCAAACTAAAAATTATAATACTTTTTTACTGATTTGTAACATTTACCTAAAACTTGTACGGAAATATTCATTTCTTCAATTCCGGCTTCATTTATTGCTTGACACGTATACATATCAGCTTCATCTTCTCTAATTTTATTGATTGTCAAAATTTGTCCATTTTTTAAAATTGAAATTCTAGAATTAGGAATATTCAATGTGCTGTTCTTCCTATACCATGTAATGAGAGGAAGTGGTGTGCCAGATACTGGACAAAGTAAAGTTACAGATTCTCCCTCAATCACTTGAATATTATCTGAAACCTGGGTTTTATCTATTTTAGGAGGAACTGAAATAAATAAAGAAAATAATTATAAAATTCCTCTAAAACCATATTTTATCATAGAATTTAGTTGCTTATGCTTTTTGTTTTGTCATCATTATTTCTAAGTGATAGCAAAATCATGGCTCTAGCTAAATGTGCTTTATCATCCTAAAGGTTGCGTGATTAATAATTATCACATTAATATTAATGTTAACAATGTTTGTTTTTACTTATTTTGATCTACTTGTATTGCCATAAAATAAAGCTGTAAGTACAGGGTGTTGTAAAATTCAAATAAAAAAAGATAAGTTAGTATCTGAAAGAACATTTGGCTGTAAGACAAGTGCCTAATTTAACTGTTCCTGTACATAAAGCAGGGAAGATGGCATCATAGAGATGAGAAGTAGATCTACAAAATGTCTTATATTTTGATCTATAATATGCAGTTTTCTATATGTTATATTAAGCTTTGTATTTTCATTTGTAAATTATAATTTTAAGTATTATTTATTTTGATTTTGAAAATAATTAAATTACATTATTTTAAAATTTAAAAGACTTTATCAACTTGGTAAAATCAAATTAAAACTCACCATAGACATTAAGTTTAATAGTAACACTGTCATTCCCAGCAGAATTTGTAGCAAAACATATGTATACTCCTGAATCTTCAGTAGATACATCAAAAAGCAAAAGAGAATTATTTTCTGCTACAACTGGTTGAAAATTACTATCTGAAAAATTGAAATATTTAAATAGGATAAAAAACATAAAACAAGAATTATTTACAACATTTTTTAAATAAACTTTAAGAACTTTAAACTTTTTCATTGATTTAAGGCTGTTTAATTTCTCTGCTCTGTCTAGTAAGATGGATTCAAAGATGCAACAATCCTATATCTTAACTCAAGCATGCTGTTAAGTAGCAGTGCTGTACACAAGTAATGTTTTACATATCTCCACAAGAATAAATTATATGAGGTGAAATTGTTAGACCTTGGGCCACCAAAGGAAAAGTTTGTCCCAAGAATCAAATTGTGGCAGGAATGTGACTATACGTTAGATGTGTATTTTTTTTTTATGAAGGGTGTCCACATTGAGTACTTGCAATGTATGAAGTAAACTTGCTGAGTTGCTCTTTCATTTCATATAAGATTTGTTACTGTTGACAATATTTAAGAGAAATTAAACAACATTAAATCCAACAACTTGACCAATTTTATTGAAAAGACCTTTTTTTCAATATATATTTCTAATACAAGTAATTTACAACAGAAATATCACATATTTACATGTATTTTACTGACTATGAAAACTAAAAATTACCAGAAGCATTTTCTTCATTTCTTATCCAAGTTATTACTGGTTGAGGAATTCCTGATGCTTTACAGTCCAAAACAACATCTGATGCTTCTACTGCAGTCACCAAGTTTGCACTTTTAAAATTTATAATAGGAGGAACTATGAAAATGAAACTATACAAATTAAACAACGATAAAACACTTCACCAATTAAATAAATTAAATTATTTAATATAAATTATAAATTTTCGTCTATAAACAATCATTCACTATTATCAGGACTTATTATACTGGCTAGTATAATAATTCCTGATAATAGTGAATGATTGTTTATAGACGAAAATTTATAATTTAGTAAGAAAAGGACATTGAGGCATTTTAATTATTTAATATAATTTTAAATACAAACATTAAATATTTATTTATAATTTTTACATGTTTTTACTATAAAATTTATCATAATTGAAACCTAATTTTTAAAACTGAAAAATTCATATATGGCAACAGTCTGTATGAATTAATATTTTTATCTTAGATTTTTATTATGCTTATCAGGGCTGGCTTCAAGATAACTGAACTAATTGAACACCATTCAAGAAACCTTATTGTAAACTTATAATACCACAAAAAAAAATGATTATTCTAAAAAAAATGGTCATTCATGTTGTGAATAACTACAGATTTTAGAATTAATAACATTATATTAACTTTTAATTAACTGTTGAGTTTTTGTTTAACTGTTAATTAAAAGATTGCTGTTTTTCATGATCCAAGATGGGCCTGCATTTATTAAGGCTGAGCCCAATGGTCATTTCTCAAGGCAATAAGAGTAAAATTTTACTTTCTTAGAACAAAGAATTCTCAAGGCTCATAATATTAAAATAAAGCTAAAAAAAAGCTGAATATTTGTTTACACTAGGCTTCTGCTGTAAATAATTTAAGAATTAAAATTGATTTTAGTTTCATTGTTAAACAAGATATTGTGTAGAAAATTGTATTTTTAAAGAAGCAATCTAATAGCTTTTTGCAGATATTTGGATATTAAATATATTATACTAATTTTCAACAACAGATTAAAAACACTAAAAATGACTAAATAAAAATTTAAGCATAACATAAAGGACTGTTAACAGTGAGGTAAAATAATTAATATGTGGCTTATTGAATATCCTGTCCTGTATACTGATAAAAATTACTTTTAATTATCTGAATTCGAAAACTATAAAATTAATAAAATAATGAAATGAGATCATTATGTCATCATTAAAAGTAAAATTACAGATAATGGCCAGTATAACTGTTTATAACAAATAAAATATTTTCCCTGATAAATGATCAATTGCTTACTGCAATTGTAATACAGTAGTTAATTTAATGAAGTAAGCACTACAGCTTGAGTTTTAGATAAACTGAAGCATGCAACTAATAAAGTTGTATGCTTCGGTTTATCTAAAACTCAAGTTCATCTCAATATGCAGACTTGACTTTAGCTTTTAAACTAAATCATTTGGACTGCATAAGTATGAACTAACTCATGCAAGTTACTAATGTATTACATTCTACAGAGTAATCAAAGATAAAGTTTACTTGTGAAGAGCAGTGGAACTTTATGATATACTTAAACAGAAAAAGAATAATTTGAACAAAGGAAGTAAATTTCAACAGCATTAGAATCAAATTACACATGATTCATTAATTAACAGAAACAGCAGGAACACATTAGTTTTTGTCAATGGGTAGACCACATATGTTCAAAAAATTATAATAATAATTAAAAAGTATTAACAATGTAAATTCGTCTCTGTAATCCAAAACACACGCTTTGGTAGACGTATCTTACAGCAATTTCTGGTTAGCAAATTTAACTTTTACTTTTCATTGAACTACAAATATATTTCGGGTTGGTATAATATACTCCAACCCCTCTTCAGTGCTAGTTCAAATAAACAAAAAGTGTTAAAACATGACTATGTTATATTACATTAAATGAAACAAACCAAAAAACACTTACATTTTTTCATTAAATACACAACAAAAACTGTTTCTTATTTTGCTTTTTCACAAATTAGGAGGTAGGAGGGTAGACCGTTTACAAACATCAATTTATGTTTTAACTTAAATACTATGCATACCATATTAATATGTAAAATACAAAATAAAGATTGCTATAGTTTAACTCGAAGGAAAAATTGATACTAAGGATGGATGAATTCAACGTCTGTTCTCCAGATGTCCAGTCTGCAAGGTGGGGACTTTTCACTCCTCAATCCCCTGACCAAGTGATCTCTTCCCCTGTTCTCCGAATTAAAACATACAATTAAAACATACAAGTGTTAAAACATGACTATGTTTTAACACTTTTTGTTTATTTGAACTAGCACTGAAGAGGGGTTGGAGTATATTATACCAACCCGAAATATATTTGTAGTTCAATGAAAAATAAAAGTTAAATTTGCTAACCAGAAATTGCTGTGAGATACGTCTACCAAAGCGTGTGTTTTGGATTACAGAGACGAATTTACATTGTTAATATAACATACAGCAAACCAACTATATATTAAAGAATTTAAAGAAAATAGAAATGGACAACAGGGTGGCTGATCTAACGAAGAAGGCAGAAATGTTGGAACATGATATGAATTACCTAAGATGTTTTCTTAGAGAGGAATTTACACCAAGTACCATGAAATTGAAAAAATCCATAAGGGACATTATACCAAAACATGCTATCTGGAAAATAGAACGTAAGATCATAAAATTTGTTATTAGATTTAAATATAGGAAATGGAATAATTTAAAATATCAAATACGTAAATTACTATATAGATTTAATTATAAAGTAAACCCTTATAGGGGTATAGCCAATGAGTATAGATATAGAAAAGAAGTCAAATTACAGAAATTATTTTCATACCCAACGAATAAAGAAAAGAAAAAATGGATTAATGATCTAATTGTTAATAATTCTAAAACTCCTATACCAGGTCATGTTAAATATATATTGGCGTTGGGTTTAGATTATAATCTGCCTGTTGTTGATATTACAACAGATATGATGGCGAATATTGATAAAAATATAAAAGATTTAAAAATTGAAAAAGAAGATAAAAGTAATTTAATTAGTAACATAATCCAAAATTTAAAGAAAGGTACTAGCCAGAAAAATAAACATATAATTAGAAAGTACAAAAATAACATTAATTATATTAAAAGTTTTTTCAAGAGAAATAATCTTAGGATAATAAAGGCAGATAAAACAAAACAATTAGTAATTATAGATAATGTAAACCTAATCGGAAAAACGTCTGATCAAATTAATAATGATTCTTATATTAAATTGGATGTTAACCCATATGAGGGTATAAAAAAACAATTAACTACTTTGATCAAAAAAAGTTACATAAATAATAATATAAGTAATTTTGAAAAAAATTACATTCTTGACTTCAATAATAATAGAATACCTACTCTAAATATTAGGTTAAAAACTCATAAGGAAGTAGAAAAATTTAGACCCATCGTTGATTTCAAATACTCCATTCTTTATAATTTAGAATATTACATAAAACAACAGTTAAAATGTTTTGAAAACTCTGTATACAGCATAAAAAATGCTGATACTGTCATTAATAGAATACAAAAATTGAAAAAAGAAAATTCTGATAAACTAATGAGTTTAGACATAAAAAATATGTATCCCAGTATAAAATGGAAATTAATAGAAAATAGCTTAAGTAAACTTAATATACATAATAATTTGATTGACTTAATACAATTTGCATACTATAACAATTATTTCAAAGTTAATGATGTATTTTATAGACAGCTAGATGGTATTAGCATGGGGTCAAAGATGGGACCAAAATTAGCTGAATTAGTTATGATCGATATTGATAAAAAAATAAGTGAAATACATGGCATAAAATTAATAATGAGATATGTGGATGACTATTTGATCATATATAATAGTAATTTAACTAATAAAGAAACTATCCATAACTTTATAAATAATATAAATAAGGACATTCAGTTTGATATTGAAGAAGAAGTAAATAAAAAAATTAATTACCTTGATTTAACTATATTAAATAACCCTGTTAAATATAATTTCATAACATATAAAAAATCTTGTAATGTTAATAAAACTATAAATTATCATTCTTATACCCCAGTTTATATGAAAAAGAATTCTTATTTTATGGAATTAAAAAATATATATACACGCATAACCGATGACCATAATATAAACACCAAACTTAAAGATTTAGAAATAAAATTTATAATGAATGATTACCCAAAGTTTATCCTTACTAAATGGAAAACATGCTACTTAAAAAACAGATATAATACGAAATTTAAGAATGAAAAAACATATAAAAAATTTCCATACATTCAGAATATTTTTGATTATTGTAGTAATAGCCTTAAAAATTATAACATTTGTTTGGCCCCATCTTTGACCAATAAAATTTCACAGAATATATACAGATACATAAATATTACTAGTGTTAATAAAATTGATTGCCTAAAAAAAGCTGGGGTTGTATACAGGTTAGAATGTGATTGTCTGAATCCATATATATACATAGGTGAAACAGGGCGTGTGCTAGATGTTAGAATAAAAGAACATGAAGCAGCCATCAGATTGAAGTACTATAACTCCCCGTGGTTTGATCATACAAATAACAATAATTGTAAAATTAACCGTAATAATATAAAAATTCTACATTTTGAAAAAGACATTTATAAAAGGAAATTTAAAGAGCATTTAGAAATAAGGAAACAAAAAAATAATTTAATAAATTCCTCTGAAGGTATGCAAATTTATCACCGGTGGTATGAATTAATAGATGGCGCTAAAACGAGTTAATTGTTGTTATTATGTTTAAACATGATATAAATTTTTTTGGTAATAGTAAATTTCCATAATACTGGTATAATGAAATTGTTGTTTGTGTATCAATAGCTTTTACATACGTATGGATTTTTTGTTACTGTGTCAATAGTTTTTTACTGTGTCTGTTATACACCCATGTGTAATGAAAAATGTAAAAATGGAAAGAATAATATTTTAATTTTTTTAAAATGTTTTGATTTTTTAATTTTTAAAAGTTTGTGTGTACCACTCCCCTTAACCCCACATCTGCAATGGTCATAAATTCGGAGAACCAGGGGAAGAGATCACTTGGTCAGGGGATAGAGGAGTGAAAAGTCCCCACCTTGCAGACTGGACATCTGGAGAACAGACGTTGAATTCATCCGTCCTTAGTATCAATTTTTCCTTCGAGTTAAACTATAGCAATCTTTATTTTGTATTTTACATATTAATATGGTATGCATAGTATTTAAGTTAAAACATAAATTGATGTTTGTAAACGGTCTACCCTCCTACCTCCTAATTTGTGAAAAAGCAAAATAAGAAACAGTTTTTGTTGTGTACTTAATGAAAAAATGTAAGTGTTTTTTGGTTTGTTTCATTTAATGTAATATAACATAGTCATGTTTTAACACTTTTTGTTTATTTGAACTAGCACTGAAGAGGGGTTGGAGTATATTATACCAACCCGAAATATATTTGTAGTTCAATGAAAAATAAAAGTTAAATTTGCTAACCAGAAATTGCTGTGAGAAAAATCTACCAAAGCGTGTGTTTTGGATTACAGAGACGAATTTACATTGTTAATATAACATACAGCAAACCAACTATATATTAATTAAAAAGTAATCAAGCAAATATTTCCATAAAAAGTAGACTCGATGACATCAGTCAGGATTTTGAAATGTTATTATTTGAGTCCATAGTAAATACATATTCAAGATTTTAATTTCTTGTGATGTATAGCAATATAATAATAAGAATAGATGATTCACAATTGCTGAGTTCCTAAAACCAACATTGCCCAACCAGTAGTCTACCAGATCAAATTTTGTCATTCCTTAACTGAACATTATAATAGCAACAAATGCTTGCATGCATTCCTAAAATAAACATTTTGCTTATATCAGAGCTACCTAATAAACTAGTTCTTCAAGACATTCTGTCTGATCTTTATAGACTGACATTTCATTCAGATCTCATGTCATAATGTATGTCAAATGACATGTTTTAGCATATACAATGCAATTTCTCAAATTAATTCAATCTTTCTTGTTTTGTATACTCTACCAATGAAAGGAGACTATTATTGAAACATTGTATTTAGGACCTTAGCAAACATAGCCAAGTTTACTCCTCACAAGTAAACTTTTCATTAGATCATCTAGTATTATTTAATAGAATTTATTATGACCAATAGAATCAATAAATGAATATAATAATTCTAAATTTAAAAATCAATCTTTTAAACTAATAATAATAAACTATATAATAATAATAAGATAAAACTGCATTTTCAGGTAGCAAAAATATTTATTTGACAAACATTTCTGGCCTGTCTTAAGCCAATATCAGGTCATAGATAATGTATAAAGATTGACTATCTAAAAAAGCAATTTTATTGTATTTTACTTTAAAATTAACTTACCATGTACAAACACAGAAAAATCTTTTGTAACAGTTCCAGCATTATTTTTGGCAATGCAACTGTATCTGCCACCATCATTTATATTCATTGAAATTACAGTTAATGTTTCCTCTTTTATATCAATATTGTAATTTTCAACTAGAGGTAATCCATCTTTTTCCCAATATATTGAAGGTAGAGGATAACCGTTAACAGGACAATTAATGATCAATGGGTCAGCTTCAACAACTGTTATGTTTTCTGAATCTTTAGAATTTATACTTGGTGGTACTATGAGAATACAAATTTCATTCATATTAGTAATTAAAATCAATGACAAAATGTATTAATATATTTTTAATAATTATAAAAATGTATAACACATTTAATTAATAAGTAATTTATTTAGATAAAGTTGAAAAAATTTCCACTTTTTTTTTAGTATAAACATTAATTAAAAAAGACTTTGCTGATATAAGTGGAAATTTTTTCAACTTTTCAATTAATTCAATTTAAAAATAAATTTTTGAATATATATATATATTCAAAAATTTATTTTTCGGCCGATGAATTATTGAATTATAATATATGAATAGTAACATGCAATTTAGAACACGAGTAACAACATGCAGCTAATTGAAATTGGTCTTGATTATTCTTAAAATTAGTTAGCTGAATTAATCAGTGCATCATTAACAGTAGATGACATTTAATGAATGTTAATGTATTTGACCCTATTAATGAGTCATCTTCAGGAATGGCAAGTTGAAATTGGAATGCCAGTGTCAGTTAAGAAGGAAAATAGGATAGACTCTAATAGAGTAGACTATGATAGTGATGATTAATGCAAAAGGCTAAGGGGATATTGTCAATCAGGGAAAAAAAGATCTTGTCCCTGCTGTTTAAATATGTGTTAGTGATGTAGTCTTTATAAATTTCACACTTCTATACAATATTGGGTAAAGAATGAGGTAAGATATGGTTCTGACTGCCTGCCTGCCTCTGAAAAGTTGTGAGGAAAAAAAAGGTAAACTGTAGCAGATCTTCCTTTTTTAATATCATCTTTACATTTGATGAGTGTCTGTCAAGGATCTTTTGGTATATCTGACATATACTGTGTTGATGCCAGTCTCCTCATTAACATTCTTTAAAAATAAAAGGTGCATTAATTAATTCAGCCAAGTAACATAGTGGCTAATTCATCCTTCTTAAAATAAGTCAGTTATCCACAATCATAAGCTATTTAAAATGAATTTAAAAACATATTAATACTTATTAATACTTACTCCAAACAATTATTGTAAACAGTTTACTTGATGTTCCAGCAATATTTGTAGCCTGACATAAATAATCTCCTGCATGATTTAAGTCAGATTTGAAACGAAGATTTCCATTACTTAGTATTTGAGCATCATTTGGAATATGTGATTTATTATAATACCAAAAAATATCTGCTTTTGGTATCGAATGTGTCTCACAAGGAAGAGTAACTAGATCACCTTTTAGTGTTGTAAATTCAGTCTGAGAAGCTTTAATTTTTGGAGGAACTGTTAAATAATTAACATTTAGTGATATATTATTAAAATATGAAATTCTTTTATATTAATTTATAAAAGAAAATTAAATATAAATTTGATTGCAAATTTTATACTTTAATTTCATAAAGCATTCATTTTAAATGAATAATAATAATTCATTAAAATTCTTAAAAAAACATAAAATGGATACTTACCATGAACAATTAAATTGATTGATTGATTTGTTGCACCAATAATATTGATAGCTTCACAAGTGTATAGACCTACATCTGTTTCACTAACTTCTGAAATATATAAATCATTTGTGGGTAAGTGTTTAAACTGTACATCATCTATGAAGACTGGAATATTGTTTTTAAACCATGTAATCTCTGGCTTAGGATTGCCAATAACACTACAGGGTAAAGAAATATCTTGACCCTCAACAGCAACATAGTCTTCTTTCATTTCACCAATAAAAGTAGGAGGCTCTAATGAAAAAAGTATCAAATAAATAATTTCTTTAGATATCATATAAAAATAAAAAATAAGCACTATACCTTGGATATCTAATATTACTGTGTTTGTTGCATTGCCACCAATGTTAGAAGCAACACATGTGAAAGTTGATTGGTGATGATCATCAGCATTTTCAATTTTTAATGAACCATTAGCATATATTTCTATGTCTGGTTCATTTTCTATAATTCTTCCATTCCAAAGCCAATATATAATTGGTTGAGGATTACCCTGGTTAACTTCACATGGAAGAAAAATTGTTTCACCTTTTTTTACAGCTGCCAATTCGTCGGCATCTTTCAACGCTGGAGGAACTAAAAAAAAATTAAGAAAATTTTTGATAATTACAATAAATATTCTAATATTTGATAAATAGATTTAAATATTACAATTATACATAAGAAATTAATTTTAATATAACATACCTATACCAGAAACTGAAACAAAAGCCTCTAACATATGACGTCCAAATCGGTTTTCTATGATGCAAACATAATAGCCTTCATCATCTTTAGTTATTTCTAAGTAAATTAAAATGAAATATTTAAATTATAAATTTGAAATATTTAAATTATAAATTTAAAATTTTATTCATCCTTCATCATAATTAACCATAAAATAGAACAATAGCTAAAACTACTAAAAAGAAATAAATATAAGTCATAAGAGAAAAAAACTAGAAGATGAAGAGTTACCCTTCAACATAATGATAAATTTATTTACCACTAAAAAATATCATATAAATCAAATTGTAATATTCCTGATGAAATAATTTGATAAAAATGTACAAACAACCTTAAACTTCCAATAATAAACAGCTTTAATAGCAAACACATGCATGTGCTAAATGACCATGTTTTATAATATGCATTCTTCTTTATATGTTGTAGTGCTCTGTCACTAAATTGTTCTTTTTGGTTTTTGTAATTATATATCAATTTAGTTCTGTATCAGTTTTTGTTGTCGCAATACCTGTTTACTTGTAAAACATTCTGTTTTGTTGTGTGCCTCCTTCAGCAACCACTCACTGGCTCGTGGTTGGTTGTAATGACATCACGTGACTAAAGAGTAAGCCCCAATGGTGAGGGATATAAAAAGGTAAGTACAACATGTGCAAGCACCTTCTCTTGGGTTTTCGTGAGAGGATTCGTTGAAAAGACATGAGAGGAAGGCTTCAAGGAATCAGGTGAGAAGGTCTTGAGCGCAACAGTTAGTGGGGAAAGGAGAAGAGTAGTGGCGAGAGAGACTGTGTCTTTGTTCTTTGGAGCTAAAGGGAAATCCACTTGCATCGAGAGGAAGGTTGTGCCCAGAGTGGAAAAACTGTTGGTTAAAGAAGGAATTCATACTTACGTATCGTTTGCCCTTTTATTCGTGTTTTGATTGTACTAGATTCAATGAATGTGTCAGTGATCTTAGCATGTACTTGCCTTGTATGTATATATTTTTAATATTGTTATTATGTTAAGTATCGTTGTAATCTTAGTAATTATTGTACTAGTGTGTCAATTGTCAAATCCTTGTGAGATATATAAACATTGTTTTGCATTCAATTGATTTTTTTTGGTACGGCCCTTGTACTCCTTACCAACGGTGAGCCTGAACCTTGTCGATTCCTACTCACTACAATATTCCATGTATGTTCTAATTTGTGGTTTGGTGCACTTGATGATGATCATTTAAATGACTGAAAACATATGTGACTTCAAGTGCATTAGTGAGTGTATGAGGTTGTATGTTTATACTATTAACACTAAAAATAGCAAGTTCTTACCATGTATATACAGACTACCAGAAGAATGAATGGTAAATCTTGGATTTTCCATCAAATTTTCTCCATTTTTCTTTTGCCAAATTATTGAAGGATATGGAAGACCACTTGCTGAACATGGTATACTTCCACTAGTTCCTATATCTATTGAGGTATCTATGGGACCATGAACTATAACAGGAGCAGCTGTACACATTTAAAATTTTTAAGTTAATTAACATGATCACTTATGTTTCAATAGTATTTAAATAAAATAAAACAAAAAATATTACAGCCAACATCTAAGTATAAACTCTCTTCAGCAGCTCCAGCTTCATTTATAGCTAAACAAGTATAATTTCCTGCATCAGTTTCTTGTACTCCATTTATAATGAGTGAACCACTTGAATCTTGATGGATATAAGATGTAGGGAAAATTTCAATGTTTCCATGAAACCAAGCTACTCTAGGTAATGGAATTCCTTCAGCGATACATCTCAGTGTAGCAACATCTCCATGTCTTATGAGAATATGTTTCTCTGGCAAAGTTATTACAGGAGCCTCTAAAAATTAATCCATACAATATAACACTAATAATTAATAAATTACTTGCATATTTGTTTAAATATTACCTATGTATTGAAGAAAAACTGATTTCAAATCTGTTCCTGCTGAATTTGTAGCTTTACATTGATAATGACCTTCATCATCAGGATGAGTTCTTGAAATAATTATAGAAGTTTTGTCTAAGTGCATTCGACCTTCTTGCATAATCCTGTCATATTTCTTATCCCATACCCATTGTACTTCAGGTTTAGGATAACCTTTTACTAAGCATGTAATATTTATGGAATCATCAGATGTAAATTTTGGATCCGTTGGAATAACGGTCACAGTTGGAGGTTCTAAAATAAGAATTTTATTAACTAACAAACCGAATAATTTCTATAAAATTCTAAAAATTAATTTTTATATCTGCTTAATTTTATTTTAATTAATTTTTTCTGTATTTCATTTCAGATAAATATTGTCTTTGCAATAATTTTGTTCCACTAATGCTTGCTAACATGTAAGACGTTATAAAGATAATTCATTATTTTTTCATGTTATTTTTTTTACTTAACTAATGCTGTTTTAAAATATCTTATCTGTTTGAAAGAGATACAGAATTAGTTGACAATAATAAAATTAGTACAGTAACCAGGAAGGAGCCAAAACTCTCTTATTTTTGTAAATAAATAAATAAATAAACTTAAATAATTACAGCAAAAAGATTTGACAAGTGCACATATGTATATTCAATATCTAAAAGTTTATTCTTCATCCACAGTACTAGTCTACACCCATAGTGAATACAGATGAATGTAGGTTTGCATGTCCTTATTCAGGCCTCCCCTAATATCATTTATTCTTATATCACCAGATAAAATAAACTACATATTATAGTTTTATGATATAGTTTTCACTTATTAAATGTTAGTGTTCTTACACACATCTACAAAATTCACCTACTGTTAAAGATGTATATTACTAAGCTAACTTTTATTTGATAAAAAAAAAATATATTAAATTAATCTTCAAAACACTTATGAACAGTATTTTAAAAAGTGAGGTAATTTTACATTATAAAATATTTTTATAAAGAATATTTTGAAATTATAATTATTGTCATAATAAAGTGCATATAATAATAAATAAACTAACCTTGCACTGCAAAATAAAATTGTTCTCTATTAAATCCACCTTCATTTGTTGCGATACATCTATACCATCCTTCATCATCATTTGCAACATGATGAATTACCAAAGAATAATTTTCTTGAACTTTAAATCGTAAATTATCTTTAATAGACTTTTGTCGAAAATATCCAGCTCTATCCATATATAATCTAAACCAAGTAACATTATAAGGTACTGTACTTGAAATTGCACAAGACAATATAGCAGTTTTATCAGGAATAGCAGACATATTCTCAGGTTTAGAAATAATAGGTGGAGGTTCTAGAAATATGAAATAAATTTAATTATTATTGAATTTTGATATTTTATAATTTTTTATTTATTATACAAGAGTCACTCTAAAAGTTTCCACATACACAAAAAGTTTTTTTTTATAAAACTTATCAACATTATTCAGTTTCTCAAAGTAGTCTCTGTGATGCTGAATGCAATTGTTCATCCAGTTAAACCACTTCTAAAAACACATGGCCCACTCATCTACCACCAACTGATCTCTGCAGGTACTTACAGCTTATTCTGGCAATCCAAAACAATGTTCATATAGGTCCTTCTTCAGTTTTAGAAAGAGAAAGTTGTAAGAAAGTTGTCATGACTATTGGATAGATGGGTTACAAGTTGTACCATTGACTCAGAAACTTGATATTTGTGGCCATGTCAGCAGATGCATTGTCATGATGATAAAGTCTTCATAGTTGGACTTTGACCATTTTTTGCAAATTTCCTTAATGACTTTGATTAGCAAACAGTAGTGTACCACCAATGGAATGATGCAAATGTATCTAGTTTTTCCAAGGAATTTGGCCACCATTTACTGACCAACACATCTTGACACTTCACCTACAGAGAAATTTCCTCTTTGGAAAAATCCAAATTTGGAATTGCTACTTGGTTTCTGGCTCATACTGATAAATGTTTCATCTCCAGTAATGATATCCCATAAACATTTTAATGTTTCCATTGAAAATTTTTCAGTCTTTTCACAATACCCAGCCACACAAATCTCCTTTTGCTCCTCAGTGAAAGAATGTGACACCAGCAATTTGACACCTTTCATAGGCAAAGATGCATGTGAACAATTTCATAACTGTTCTATTCCATTCTGGAAGATGTTCACAATTTCTTATACATTATCCAGAAGTACTCCCTGACCATAGTTTCCACATAAACCATGTTCTCCAGCTTCCCTATCATCAATTGCCCCTGGAAGTTGGCTTCTTACAGAAACACAGCTTCCCTATCATCAAATGTCATGGCAGTGGCGTGCCATGACATTTGATGATAGGGAAGCTGTGTTTCTGTAAGAAGCCAACTTCCAGGGGCAATTAGTTCATTGCATGTCAGTGATGGTCTAGGGTCCATTCGTATTCGTTTGTTTGATAAGTCAGTAAAAACTGTAGACTTCTCTAAATGTATTTTTAATATCACAATTACATTCTGAATTGCTAGCCATGATATAAGGGCTAAAATTATAAATAAAATTATAAAAACTTACTTGGTGAAATAAAATATGTGGTTCATATACATACCTGGTTTACAAAATATTCTTCAATTGTATGAATATACTTTTAAAGAAAATTATAATTAAATAAAGCTTTGTAAAGAAACATACATAAAAATAACATAAAATATTCTTTACTTTTTAAATATTAAAACAATCAACTTAGTTAATTATAATTGCTCCCTACAAGTGGCTAATGGATGGAATCAGAGACAGTCCTGGTAGGTGTGCAGTGCATGCATGCATATGGGCTGCCAAATCCCGAGGGTGCCGAAACCAGTCAATATCAAATGTGCTTTTTGTCACATCACTAGTATACCTCAAAGGACGCGACAGGGTTGTTGTAAATTTTAAACGTTTCTCACAATAGCTGTAAAAATCTAAATATGTTAAACTTAATATATTGTCTGTCGTTTGTTTTCTAACTAATTCGTTTTAGGACCAGGTGTCCATAGAAATTTCCAAAATTTACAACTTTTCGGTCACTATCATTGAACTGGAAAAATTTGTCTTTATTACATCTAATATTACAAAGAAATCAGTCCCCACTGTACTCGGCTAGAGATTGGTTCAGTTAAGCTTTTGTTTAGGTAAAATTCGGACTCTTTCAGCAGGGTTTTATTTATGTCCCTAATTCCCTAATCTCTTAATTATTTAACTACTTCTTAAGTAGAAATAAGTCGAAACCAGTTACTTTGTACTTGAATATTTGTAGTCATGGGAAAGTAGTGGAAAGACAAATTTTTATGATAACGGATACATAAATTGTAAATTTAAGGAAAATAAATTCTAGAGGTTTTTTGTACCTCGTGCATCTCATTCATTAAATTTACTTGTAAATGATGTTGCCAAACTAACAGTTCATTTTTTTAATATTGTACAAGAATTTTACATGTTTTTTCCTGCATCCCCTTATAGATGGGACATACTAAATCGTAATATCGCTAGTTTAACATTTAAATCTGTAAGTAATACAAGATGGGAGAGCAGAATAAAAGCAGAATAAATATATCAAATATTTTAATGGATTTTTTTAAAACTCCTGTCAACTATACAGAACTATCATAAAAACATA